TTGTACTTTTAGTAGAGATGGGGTTTTACCATGTTGGCCAGGCTGGTCTCAAACTCCTGACCTCAAGTGATCCACCTGCCTCAGCCTCCGAAAGTGCTGGGATTACAGGCATGAGCCACAGTGTCTGGCCTCTCCTATCCTTTTCTAACTATTTCCTTACCTCCTCCAGCAGCCACTTTGGTGAGACCATGTTAAAGATGGGGAAAAAGAAGCCCCAGATACTGAGTTGCCTGCCTTGGTCACAAGTGAGCCGGTCTGAGAAAACCGTGAAGCCCGGGTTTCCTGATCGCTATGTGGGAGCGCAGAGTGGCTTTCCTGTTGCCCCTTCCATTTCCATTTCTGTGGGAGCCTTACTGGTCTCACCTGGTCAGAGCTTGAGTGCCTTAAAGTCCTGCATTTCTTCCCAGGCTTTGATTATAACAGTACTAACTCACACAACCAGAGTCATCTTCGTCATCTGAACTAGTGCCTTTTATTCCCAGAGAGACTCTAACTCACCTTGTTCCTGACTGGAAAAGAATATGAGAGAACTTTCCATGGAGACGGAATGTTGTCTCTCAGGTTTGGGTTGTGTACGATCATCAGAAATTCATCAAGCCAAACACTTTTGGGTATATCTTTGGCTACCTCAGTATTCTCTAACTTTCGGGTTCTTGGCAGCAAGAAATCATCTTTCCCTGTGTTGTGTTTAGAGGCCATTAGAATGACCTTTTTGCAAAACTGTGCTGTGGTAGATGTAATGTGAGCTTATTCCTCAGCTGTGTCCAGAAGATGCCTGCACATGTCCAGTTTCTCTGGTTTAACATGATCTGAAAGCTTTGCAATAGAGATGATATGAACTGAAGTGACGGTAGCACATTATACACCTGTGTAAATACATGAGAAAAAGATATCATGGTGGTTAATTTAATCAGTGGCATTTTTCACTTCTCAAGACCTTTGACCACATTCGTGCACCAGCACAGTACTTGTCATTAGGTGGACATTGCAGCCTTTTTAGGTAAATGTTCACCAGCAGGCACCTTGACTCACTCTCTCCACAAAGCAAGGTTATCAATCCAGGGACTTTGGCCAGAATTCAATGTCAAGAATTATGTTCTTCATGTCGTCTTATTCTGACACGTTTTTATGGGCCTCCATCCATTTTCTTACTCTCTGCTGTGGTGAAATGCCTTCGGTGCTGGAAGCTGTGCCCATGACCCATGCTGGTAGAAGGTGAGGCTTATCTGTACCTAGCCATATGGTCTCCTGAGCGCTGGCCTTGGGTAAGTGAAAGGTGCTTCGTACATTTGGAGAGGAATTGTTGCATTCTGCCCATATTGGGACATGCCAGCATCTTAAGATTTTTCATTATTCACTGTGAATCAAGTGAGCACCTGTAGTTAGAACTGACTGAGTGCGGTGGCTCGTGCCTGTGATTCCAGCACTTTGGGAGGCTGAGGCAGGAGGATCATTTGAAGCCAGAAGTTTGAGACCACTCTGGCTTACAAAGTGAGACCCCATCTCCAGACCCCATCTCTTAAAAAAAAAATAGAACTGCATGTGGCATGGCAACATGCGTGTAGTCCTAGCTACTCAGGAGGCTGAGGTAGGAGGATTGTTTGAGCCCAGGAGTTGGAGGCTACAGTGAGCTATGACCCTGCCACTGCAGTCCAGCCTGGGCAACAGAGTGAAACCCTATGT